CGCGGGCGCGGGCAGGGGGCGCGTGGCTCCCACAGCCCCGAAGGCTCCTTTTGTCCGCCCGCGGCGTGAGGAGTGCGTGCCGGGGGCTTTGTTCGGCCGGGAGCGCTCTCCCTTGCCTGCCCTCGGCCTCGCCGCCCGCCCCGCGCCCTCCGGGGCGCCGCGCTGGGCAGGGACGGCGGCGCCGGTTTGGCCCTGGGCTTGGGGGACAGTTGCTTGGGGGGGGGGGAACTGGTGAGGGTGGCGCTTTGCTGCCCTCTCCAGAGCGCGCTGAGCACCCCGGAGTCCAGGACTGAGTCTCCCTGGACCCTCAGAGCTGGAGAGAGGGTAGCAACGAGTGGGTCGGGAAAAGGAGGGAGGCTCAGGGGTCGGGAGGCTTGCGAGTTTGAGAGACCTAGGTGGGTTTGGCCCCGATGCCAGTTGGAAGTTCAAGTTTGGGGGCTGCTCTCTAGCCCTCGCGGCTCGAGGCAACGCGTCCCCTGGTACCCACCCCCTGAATGCTTCCACCCGCGGCCCCGAGGCAGGGCCAAGCTAGCTGCTCACCTCTGGTTGGGGCCACAATGGGACAGCGCAGACAGGGCTGGAAGACGGCTGGCAAGGTCCAGAAGCGAGCGCCCCGTGTGATCTGACGTGTTCCCTCTCTTTCTGTGCCCCCTGCCCACTTTCCAGGTTAGCTTTATACGTCTACGAATATTTACTGCACGTAGGAGCACAGAAATCTGCACAGACCTTCTTGTCGGAGGTGAGTGGAATTCCCCCCCATCATCCAATTTCTTGACACCCCTTCTTCCCCACTATTCTTAGAGCCTTTGTTTTCAGGAGCAACCACTGTGGCCACCATTTTGAATTTTTATCACCTTTTGGCATTTATTGTTAGTTGGTTTTCTCAGCCTTTTGGCTCTGGGAAGCCCCCAGCCCACCCTTCCTCTCTGCTCCTCTAAGTGGTCTCTGCTCTCTGCTTTCCAGATTCGATGGGAAAAAAACATCACGTTGGGAGAACCGCCTGGGTTTTTGCACTCGTGGTGGTGGTAAGTTTGTGTGATAGTTTTGTGTGTGTGTTTGTTTTGTTCTGAGACCTGGGTCTGGGTGAACAAAGACAGGAGGCCTGGAGCGGACCCCCATGCCTTAGCTCTTGGGCTTGGCATGGAACAGGGCACCTCTGGGCACTCAGACCAGGGCTGGTGAAGGAGGAAAAGGACAGGAGAGGCTGCTGCCTGAAGTTTTTGCCTTCTCTTTCCCCTCCTATTGAGAACCTACTAAATTGTGCCTAGTGTTTATACAGAAACTCCTTTACTTTTCTGTCTCTCTCTGGGGCACCAGGCGGTGGTGGTGGTGGTGGGGGCTTGAAAAAACCTTGAAGGGTTTTTGTCAGTTCTGCATGCTGCTTTAATTAGAGGGAGTGGGGGTGGGGTAGGGTGGAGAGGATACCAGGTCTGTTTTACCACTGGCCTGTCCCTTTTTCTTCTGTGAGCTCAAAACCTTGAGAGAGCAACTCTACTGGGGCCTTTCCCAGGCACCCTGAGAAAAAGCAAGAAGGGGCTGCCACTTCCTTTAAAGATACTGATTCAGACGGACTGGACCTTCCTCTCTGTGGGCTCTCCCCCCAACCCCCAGCATCCCTAAAACCACAAAGTTTCATTTTACCAAGAACCTTAACTGGTTGGCGTTGACCTCACAGAGTGCTTGTGGTTGGTAGTTAGTGGCTCTCCCTTATTTGTGACCCTTTCCCTCCTTTATTTGGGTCCTGCTGGGGTGGGAGATCTGTAGGTCTGGTCTCCTTGTAGGTTTGCGTAAGAACGGAGGCTTAGGGTCAGCAGGAGTGAGTCACTGTGAGTGTAAGACCTGGATGTTTTGCGGGACCGATTGGTCGAGTCTTTGACATCCTTTTGAAAAGGACAAGAAAGCAGAATGGCTTTTGATATTTTGGTGGAGTTCAGAAGGATTGGAGTGCCATGTCTTGGGATCTTAGCGCGCGTTTACCTGACCACCAGTTCAGGTTACTGTTCCGAGTCTCTTTGAAATGCGGGGGGATGAAGTGTCTGTTCTAACTTGCACAGAGAAAATGAGTTTTTAATGACTTCTGCCAACCTTGGAACTGCGGTGTTGGGACCTGAGGATTCTACCTGTAGGAGTGGGTGATAGGCTTTCTGGGGTTGTTTTTGGAGAGGAGTATGTGAGTGGGGTTGGTGCGTCTGACCATCACGGATTTTGCAGAAGCTCAGGTTTAGGAGTAAAAGTTACTGAGAAGGGGCCGGGGAGTTTGTAGCGTTCGAAATCTTCAGTGTGCGGAGAAGTTAATCAAATGTGTACAGCTTCAGGGGACAGAAAAGAATGTTTTTGAGCCTCCTTCTGGAGCTACTAGAAGCCTCCGATTTTCTTGTTCTGCCCGGAAGCGCCACCCCCCAATCTTGTCCTGCCTTTCTCTCAGCCCCAGGAACGTGGAGAGTCTGTTGTGTTGGACCTGAGCAGTGGTGGCTCTGAGTGGCTGTGTCCGTGGTCTTGTTAGTTAGAAGTTGCTTCTGTGCCATTTGACACTGAGCAAATGACAGCTGAGGCTCTCCAGGTGGGAGGAAGCCCCGGCGCTCATTCGCTCATTCGGAGTTGGTCAGGCCCTGGAATTCAGACACCTTGAGTGAGATGGCTTGTCTGATGACCCGCTGAGCTAGCTGTTGGTGTTGGGGACAGGAGCACTAGACCGAGAATCAGACTTCTGCTCTGGTGCCCGTTTCCTTCAAGTGGGTTCCCAGTCCTGGGCTTGGGGTTCCGGCCCGGAGAGGGTTTCTAAGGCTCTGTATTAATACCAATGACTACCCTGTGTTTGTGTAAGGTTTTACTGGCTGGCAGATGACTTGTAGGTCTGTTCTCATGTAATACAAAGTGTTAGGGTGACTACACCAAATCTTGGAGGGGGAGAAAGAAGAGATATCTAAGCCTTCCTCCTGGGCCCCCCCCCCCCTTTGCTGGATAGGTGGACAGTTGCCTTTCTGGGGAGGGCTATTTTAACATGAAAGGACAAGATACTTGGTTGTGGACAACATCTCCTTTGGCTAATTGACATGCATTCTTTGGGTGGGGGGGATGGTTCTTGCATAAGAATTCCTTGGGGGTGGGCCTGGATGGGAGTGGGGGTGAGATGGGAGGGGTGGGGGTGTGGGCTCTGGGCTCTGGGATTAAGAACCTGTAGGTTTCCTTTATTACTAGTCACCCAGATTGCTCCGCATATGAATCATAGTCCTGACTTTGACAGCTTAACCTTTTTATGAAATGTAGCCATTTTGGTTGGGGGGATGGGGGTAAAAGGAGCACAGATGAAGCAGGCCTGGATTCTTATCCAGATTCCTACCTGTCCTATCTGGGCACCCATAAATGGGTTGTACTAATCCATCCAAACTTCAGTTGCCCCTTGAATAAAGTAGGGATAGTCATCTACCTTATAGCCCTGCGGTAGTTACAAGCAGGGTCATGGGTGTGAGGCATCCAGCGCACAGTAGGTGCCTGATTGATGAGAACTAACGCTCTTACTACAAAGGTCTGGCTTGCCAGAAGAGGTTGGTCCATTGTGTTTTCAAGACCAAGTTTGCCCAAAAGGTTGGAAATGTGGGGTTGGAGCCTTTGGGAGATGCCGTGCTGTTAGTCCCGCACATTGTACACTTGTCGTTGGTACACCAGTAATAATTAGTAACCCGATCTTATTTTATTTTTCGACTTGCAGCGTATTTTGGGACCTTTACTGTGCAGCTCCTGAAAGGCGAGACACTTGTGAACATTCGAGTGAAGCAAAAGCCTTTCATGATTACGTGAGTAACAAATTTTTAATCCTGGCAATAATTACAGGGTTGGGTAGCTCTAACTTCTTTAGCACCAGAAGCAAATACACAGCCAATTGGCAGTGGTCTTTGTTTTCTCCTGGCCTTTTTTTTGTTCTGCCTACCTCCCTGCTGCCCTTGCCCTGTTCTAACTTGGGGGACGGTGTTTCATAATGTTGTAATTATGCAAAAGAGTATAGATACCTATCTGGAGGATTAAATGGTGGTGTTCAGGGCTCAGCCATGAGAGGTTGATGTTCAGAGTGGACAGTTAGCTGGGAAAGGACTGAGCCTCCTTGGTGTTGGTTTAATTAAAAAATTGGCCACCACCACCGCCGCAGAAGAAGCAAATCCGAAACTTGTGTTTCAGAGCAGAAGGGGTGGTTGAGTGAAGTTTGGTGAAATGGCCTGTTTCTTTACTTTCCAGGGAGCAGGCTTTTCAAATTATGGTGTGTGTGTGTGTGTGTGTGGGTGGGTGGGTGTGTGTGTGTGTGTGTGTTGGAGGGCTCATGTTGTGCCCAATAAGATCATGTATACTTTGAGGTCCTTGGCTGGTCCATAATCTTGTGTTCGAAATGTTCTTGTGAAGATAGTTAATTTCATCACCTCATAGCTCTTGCTACCCTATCATTCATCCTCTACCTGGATGAGTTTTTTAAGATTTATGAAATGCTTATAAGAGCGATTCTGCCGCATATCCATCTCCCATGGCAGTCCCCCTCAAAAAAAAAAAATTAGACTCCAAACATGGGTTGGAGTCAGAATTTATGATTAGATGAAACACGATCTGGGGGATGTGGGAGATGGAAGGGGAAGTGTCTGCGGTTCTTCCCAGCCTCCTTCCAGTCTTCGCTTCCCACTGGCCTTGTAGATGGGGTGTGTGTGTGTGTATGTGACAGAGAGAGTGTCAGCGCGCACGCACATGCACATAAGAGGTGGTTTATTTGGTCTTGCACTTTGTCGTGAGGTGGGTAGGAATGGTCTCCAAGCTCTCGAGCATGGAAGTTGGTTTCTTGAATGTCGTCGGGGCCCACCCACTTTGCCAGGCCATGTGTGTCCCCTGCGTGCAGAGGTGGGGGACACACCTGGGACACTAGAAACTGGCCTAGGACCCCGGAACCCATCTGGTTGAATTTCACAAGCGGTCAAATCCCATTACCATGCATATCTTTATGGTGACAGTTTCTCCTGTAATGCGAAGAGTTAGAGATTCCGCGGGAGGCTCACTGGTTTTGAGACTATTCAACGGGATGAAGTTTTGTTGTGACTGAAAAGGTAATGCCCTTGGAACAGACTGCTGTGGAAAGGGACCAGTTCTTGTGCCGTCTCCAGGACTGAGAGAGAGAAGCTGGCGAATGGTACTTACGGTCTGGTAAACTTTTAGTAGTTAAAGGTGAGGTGACTGGTTCTCTTGTGATGTGGTTCTTCTGGGAAAATCCGTGGTGATGATCACAGCGTTTCCTAAGCTGGAGGTTGGGGGAGGAGGCCAGAAGGTACATGAGGCATATAAAAATAGTTGGTGAATTTGACCCCTTTTTCCTAGTAAAAATCTTCCTTTTTTTTTTTTTAAAGCGTATGGAGAGCCCATTCCTGCATGGCCAGTTTTGCTGTGCAAATGGTTTCGTTTTGGAGTTGGGGGGATAGGTGGACGTGCCTATTTCAAGTAAATCTCTTGATAGAGGATGTCCGTGCTATCTTTTGCAAGCTATCAGAGAAGTAAATAATTTTTAACCAAGTTTGGTGCTCTAGCAAATGATGTAAGGTTGTGGCAATTTGTGGTTTGGTCTGCCACCTTGAAACAATATGGGTGGCAGTGAAAGCTTGCATGGGTTTGCTTTCCATAACTTGTTAGGGAATGGTGGCAGAATTATGTGGCGAGTACTGAAATTGGCGTGGACATGTAGAAGATGCTACCAAGCATTGAGGTCACACTGATTGAGGCCCAGGATTCACAGACTTGGGGGTCAAAACCCTTTTTCCTAGATTGGAATCCACTTGGTGTCATTGGCCTGAGAGTAAGATCGTGCAGGGGGAGGAATGGAGTGATGAATGGTGGCAGAGAGGGAACATCTGTATGGAGAAGGAGTTACACGGTGGCACTGGGCTGCAGGGGTGACAGGAGCAACTGGTAAATTAAGAGAAATTTAATGGGCGCCTGGGTGGCTCAGTTGGTTAA